TTAGTGCAGTTCTGTGATGGTGGCTCTGACAGAGGTAGATGAGTTATAGAGTCTTATTGCGGTTGGAATGAACGATTTCCTGTATCGTTCCTTAGAGCAGCGGKGTTGAATGAGCCTGTGGCTGAAGCTGCTCTTTAGTTTGTCCAGTGTTTTGTGGAGGGGTTGAGAGGGATTGTCCATGATTGCCAGCAGTTTTGCCAGCATCCTGTCCTCCACCACCTCCTCCAGGGTGACAAGCTTAGAGCCAACCACAGACTCAGCTCTCTTGATGATTTTGATTTTGTCTTGATGCCCGCACCCCAGGACACCACAGCAAAGAAGATGGTGCTCGCCACAACAGACTGATAGAACATCTGCAGCATCTTGTTGCAGACATTGAAGGACCCGAGCCTCCTCAGGAAGTAAAGCCGGCTCAGGCCCTTCTTGTAGACGGCCTCTGTGTTGGTGGACCAGTCCAGTTTATTGTCCAGTGTGACACCCAGGTACTTGTATGCAGGTACCACCTCCACATCCGTCCCACCGATGCAGACAGGAGAGGGCAGGGGCTTGTTCCTCCTGAAGTCCACCACCATCTCCTTCGTCTTCGCCACGTTGAGCTGCAGGCGGTTCTCCCCACACCACTTCACAAAGCTGTCAACCAGGTCCCTGTACTCAGCCTCCCTCCCGCCCTCAACACACCCCACAATGGCTGTGTCATCAGAGAACTTCTGCAGATGACACGACTCGGTGCAGTGCTTAATGTCAGCAGTGTATGTGATGAAGAGGAAGGGGGACAGTACAGTTCCCTGGGGGGCCCCGATGTTACTGATCAGACGATCAGACACACAGTTCTGTAATCTCACAAACTGTGGTCTGCCCTTCAGATAGTCATCGACCCAAGTGATGAGGGGAGCACTCACCTGCGTGCCCTCCAGTTTGGCCTTCAGCAGTCTGGGCTGGACGGTGTTGAAGGCGCTGGAGAAATCGAAACACATGATCCGGACTGAGGTGTTGGGTCTGTCCAGGAAACAAAATCATGTGATCTCAGCAGCGGGATTAATTATTAATTTGTCACTTCCTGCCTTTGTCTGCTTGCTGGTTTGTTGCTGGTGTGAATGCGTCTTTGCAGAAATCCTCCCGCTGCATTGTGCACGTGTGAAAGTCCGGACCCAATTCTCAGCTCATGTCTGATACAATTAGCATTTATGCGTCGTATCTAAAAATTGCTACTCTCATCTAAAAATGTAACAAGATTTTACATTTGAGTCTCAGAGCAAATAGTCCCAACCATAGATCGTATGACGTCTCTACTTCCTCCCATTATCCAGAAATGAAGCAATAATATACAGACAAAGGACTTGCACAGTTGGAGCTACTGTGCAGTAGTGATTGAGACATGGAGCCACAGTATTGAAACCCCAGTATTTAGGTTTGACATGCACTTTGACTTTTTTTACTTTGGTCCTTGTCCCATCCACTAACGTGGTGGAGGTGGGTTTTATGAGCTGAACTGCAGTCAGCCAACAGGCTGTAAATCTCTGTGTTTGAGACACTTCACTTTTGGGGAGTTTAACATTAAAGATGGCAGAGAGTGTTTCAGGTTCTTAATTAAAATGTTCAGTGTTTTGAACTCGTAACCTTTTTAAGACACTTCCTCTCACCACTGGGTTTGTCCACTGTTGTAATTAAAATTATTATTTACTCCACATGCCGGCCCGCCCCTTTCCTCTGTCCCTGTTTGGATTCCACTAAACGTGCATCAAGACATTGATGTTGGTGTTCGTGTGTCTGCACATGCACACAACTGCCCGTGAGTGTGTTTACACTGACTGCAGCAGCATGTGCACAAATACTCTGTGGTTGGAGGGGTACCCTGCTCTTTTCTCTCCACTTTGTGGTGGTTTTCTTCTGCCAGTAAACCTCAGCTGTGGTGCACATGGTCCAGCTGTAGCGGGGTGACCATGAGGACACTGACAGGGTTACTGAGAAAGCCCAGGAGCACACAGAGCACTTTTGCAATCTCCTCCACGCTTGCTCCTCAGTGCTTTTTATCCTAACGGGCCAGGACACCCTGCCTTCCATTCCCCGGGCATCAAATTATGACTCTGATTCTCCTCTTCATCCTCATTCGTCAGCTAAATCTCAGGGCTGCTGTTTCCCAAAGCTATCCTGAGACAACAATCTCCTTTGTTCCATTGTAAGGCAGCGGTGACAGAGATAATCACAGTGCTGAGATGCATTGAGGGGAACTGCACACTAAACTAGAAGCCAGATGTGGCACCATGTGCTTCTGTCCGGCTGTCAGTGGTCTGCACCGTCTCTGATGTCGGGCACTCCTTAAACTCGCTGTCCCCTCTGATGCGGTCGGGTCTGCCCTCCCTTCACCCAGCTGGAAAGCTCCACCGCCAACAATTAAGCTGGACAAATTGGAAACTCTGCCGGGCAGACGCAACTCAAATATAGAACTTCTCAAGGTGCTGTTTGGGAATCAGCCTCAGTGAATACACTGACTCCGACAAGTTGCTTTAGAAAAAAAGTAAAAGCATCAGATGGAGCTGGGGCAGCATGTGCAGCGATACAACACTGATTGAGAAGTGATTTAAATATAGATATTCTTTGTTGTCCGCGAAAGGAAATTCATTTTGCTCAGGTCATAATATACAGATATGAAATAAATAAGACAGTCCAATACAAACACTTCTTCTAAAGAGACCGCTTCTAAAAAGACAAACTTGATTTTAAAAGAGATTTTTTTTTTAAAGCAATGCCCACGACTGACATCAACCTTAACTAAACTTAACTTTTATGCTTAGCAACATTAGCATTCAGCTCCAGCTTCAGTCTGGCCACCCAGCAATTGTCCATCATTCACAAAATGGAACAAGTTGGATTTAGTCTTTTTTAAGATCTTGGACTTTTGTGCAGCACCCTGAGACAACTGTTTGTTGTGATACCGTGCTATATAAATACATTTGATTGATTGATTGAAAATGATGCGGCGGCCATGATGCATACATATGTGTAAATAAAATGATGTGGCCTTATTCATTTGATGTTTTCTTCACATAAAAACCTTGACTAGTGTAGCTTTAAGTATAATTTCAATTAATTTAAGTGTTAATCGAGTTTGGTGTGTCTTTTTAATTTTTCTGCTTAAAATCATCAGTGTTTATTTGTGAGGAGCATGTTGACGAGTAATTTTAATTAATTGAAGGTTGACCTGTTTTACTGTAAAAACAATTTAAGCACAATTATTCAGCGATAAAAGCTAATGAGTGAAAATAGAGGATTTGCACTGTGTAAATCACGCAGCTCTGATCATGCAGAGTCTGAGTTTACAGTGTGTGTTTTGGATCTAGGTTGACTTTCTGTTGGGCGGAAGCAGTAATGTAAATCTGAATTATTTACATCATGAAATAGCTTTTTCTTCACAACAAGGTGCCTGGAGCAGCACAGAAATAATACATTAGCTAAAAACACCAGTGACACCAGCGTTTTCCACTCACGGGTAAAAAAAACCAACTATATTCTACCTGGGATTGTTCTGTTCACTAAGATTGTAAAACCCATCCAAACACTTTTAATTATTCAGCATGTTATGTGGCCTTGCAGGTTTATTGTGCTTGAAATGAAAAGAGAGAAAGAAGTCCTTTTTTCATTTTAATGTATCTCCATGTTCTTTATATCTCATGTGCAGATGTTGCCTTGAAAGCTAATGCACTTTACTAGAAATATACAGCAATCAGCCACAGTAACTGGTTTTAGTGTTGTGGCTGATCAGCGTATTTCTGTGACCTGTTTTATTCTGAACCATCAGTCAAGGGACTTAAAATGTATTATATATATATATATATATATATATATATATATATAAAATATAAGAGCCTTGTGAATTTCTGTACTGTATTCTGTTATCAGAGAATTATTAATGCTGGTTTCAGTTTAGTCACTTGCACATCAGTCTCCCATAGAGAAATACAGCGGCTAAACAGCTTCTCGGTATTTCTCAGGGGAGCGGGAGGAACAGGAGGATGAGAAGGGAGCAGGAGACAGGGAGTGGCGGGGCAATCGCTGGCTGCTGCTGCACAGAGATGTTGCAGACAGGTAGGATGGATTGATGTTGCACTCACCTCTGTTTGATCTGACAGGCAGAGCCCAATGTCCGTGCATGTCTGTCTGCCCATGCAGGCATCTGTATGTGTGTGTGTGTGTGTGTGCTTGCGTAACAGTCCGATAAGATTTGGCGTGTGTGTCTGTTTGCGTGAGGCTCTACAGTGTGACTGTACTGTCTGGCCTCTGATCTGTTCCACCCATCAGGAATGAGAGGAGACAGAGAGGGCGACTTTGATCTCCTGGAGATTTTGTTGCTGCCGTCCTCTTTCCTAAAATCTTGGTTTTTAAGGACTCCAACTCAAAAAGGAAAGAACGCACATAAATCAGCTCAGTGCTGTGCATTTTAGTCTTTATTTATTACCCTGATTTATACGACACACTTACATTAAAAGCTCTTAATTGACACTCTAATCCATTTCCCCCAACAAGTAGAGGCTTTACTGTCATTCTTACACTGACATGAAATAGCAAATGCTTTTAGACTGCTGTGTTTACATGCACTCATGTAACCAGGTTACATTCGGCTTTCTTAAGTAAACGGTTACTTAAATGTCACATAAACAACAAACCTGAGCCTCATAAGAACACCGAAAGTCACAATGATGAGACGGTGGTAAGGTTAAATTTCATCAAAGAATAGCTTATAATATTCTTAAGTATTTGAAGAGAATGCATCGCAATGGCGTCATTTTTAAAAGGTTGTCTGGGCGCCTGTTGGAGGAGCATGGAACAAACAGCAAACTATCGAAGAAATAAAAATGATACAGTCTGAATACAGGTTCACAAAACTGGACAGTTGATAACATGGCATGGTCTGATAATCTTGAGTTCTAGTAAATAGTTTATGTTTACCACCAATTTGTGCAGCAAGGAGGCAGGCACATAAAACATGTCCTCCCTGTGGCGAAGAAATGTTAAGGTGTAAAGAACAAGGTAAAACAAACCTCAGCAAGATACAGTATCAGAGATTGTGTGTGACTTATTCACACCAGTTGTAAATGTGGATGTTTTTCTATGAATAGTTTGTGTTTTGCGTTGTTAACCTATTTGAGCACCTGCAGCAGCATGAACCACAAACTGCCTCCCCACATCAAACACATATTTCTCTGTTGGCGTCGGACACAGCTTCAAAGCACTTTTCCGAAAACCTTTTTCTCTACAAAACAGTTGTAAACCCCGGTGGAAGCAGAGGCCCCGCGTTCGCTTCTACCCGCCGCGGTGTGCGTTGCCATGGCGCCCAGGCGGTGTTGACACTGGAGGATGTAAACACACTTGGAGGAGAGGGAGCAAGGTGGAGGAGTGCAGGGGAGAGAGGGTGTCTCACACACACACAGGCTCAGACAGACTACAGTGGATTAGTGTTTAGGGAGAGTGGGAGGTAACAGGTTTAATGCTGTGTGTAAAATAGCTGTGAGAAATGCTCTGTTGAGAAACAGACTTGTTGTTATCTGCTGCATTTTTTCCTACTGGACTCAAACGCTGATAATGTGACATTCTGATTATTTCAAACACCTATAGTTTATATACGTACAGGGAAAAGACTGGTATTTAAATCACACTTAGAGATGAGTAATCTCGACATTTGCCGCTAATATTTTTAACAAACTTTTTGCAAAAAGTTTTTTTGGCCATTTTTTTGACCTGTAAACACAATATTAACATAAAATCATACAGAGTTGTTGACTAATATGATGGCAAACTTTTCCTGTTTACGCATTTGAAGCATAGACTGTCTAAAGATGGACGACATGACAGCTCACCAAAAGTGAGGCCATAATGCTGGCTGGCTGCTTTATAGGAAATAACCCCCCCACCTCATCCACGTTAGCAGATGGGACTTTGTCATGATTGAGAGCTGAGTCTGACTCGAGATTGGTTAGGGCCATGTATAATCAGGATCTAGATGACCACTTAATTTTGGTTTCATTTCTGGATAGTGGGAGGAAGTGGAGACACCTCATCCATGGTTTAGAGCAACATTAGCATTTTGGCAACATGTCTTAAAAATGCCAAAATGCTCAGAGAGGACTACAGCGTCAGAATTATCTGTGATTTTGTCATTTTGAGCAACCCCTGTCATGTTACACACAGTGTTTTGATCCATTGTTTATATAAATATACTGATATATTGATGAGTGCAGCTTTAAATTTCTTATAACGCTATTTTAGGGATTTCAAAATATAATGCAACCTTTAATATTTATGGAGACCGTGGATACAATTCAATCAAAACTCAGTGACAATGTCGAACACTTACTGAAATCAACAAAAACCATCTACAGAGCAGAGAGATGTGGGTGATGGAGTTTCCAGAGTTACCGAAGACAAAGACTGCATTACAGAGGGAAGATGGATATTCCAAAAACAATAAGATATACAAATAATTATACAAAATGCAGTATGGTGTCCTACCTTCTGTAATTGTATTTTAGTTGTGCAGTACAGAGGCTGCAGGGAATGGAAGGTGCTGTGCATAAAGAACAGTTCATTCTTTTAAGTGTTTAAAGAGGACAGATGTATGCTTCCCTGCACGTCCTCCTGCTGGAGACTGTGTCAGACTCACATGCTGTTCTGAGGCCACAAGTGAAAGACATGGCTCTTGGGTGACGAGTGGGTTGCAAACAGCTCCACTAGCATGTATAACTTCAGTCTCACGCTCTAAATTGTGTGTTTCATTGTAAATATGCTCAATTTACTATATTCTATTTTTCAATGGCAGTCACGCTCCTGTTTTCGAATCTCAGCTTCGCACAGGCCACTACTCTTGGGTCATCAAAACATTCTCACGTCTCCTTCCAGCGTCCTAAACGTGACTCTGTCTGATCCGCGTTTTATTGGGTGGTTTAGGGGATGTGTTTCCTTGCAGCGTAATAAAAGAGGACATGAGTCTCTTATGAACCTTCAAAGCTGCACGCGAAAGCATGAAAGCAGAGGCCGGCCGATCGCCACAACAACAGCAGCAGGCATCAATTCCAGTTTTCTCCTCATTATAATTGAGTGGATATGAAACAGGCCCCGGCTCTTGTGCCATTTCTCCGTGGAATTCATTTCCTGGCTGGTATCGGTACATATGGCTTTTGTTTTTTCTGGACGGGAACCCTAGAAAAGAGAGAGAGCTGCGATCACAGGAGGGCTCAGCAGCTTAGCCTCGCTGACCACCCCACTGATGGCTGTTATGCAACTGACGGGGCTACCTTCGGTCAGCGCGAGGGGTGATTTGCGTTCAGCTCAGCAAACTCAGGGGAAAAACAAAACCCTTTTTCTTCAAGATGGCAGCATGCATAATGACACATGCTCCAATTTGAAGGTTATGTCGACATTAGCGGTAATCAAACCCTAAATTTCCCTCAGGATCAATAAAGTATCTATCTATCTATCATTCTTTTCGTACTGCAAAGTGTAAATCTGACAATCAGGTTTCCAGGAAAGAGAACAGGGTTTTGTATTGAAGGCTGTGCTGATGAGTCTGCAGTCAGAGAGAGCAGCAGTGCTGGGTCAGCTAAGCCTTGCCTGTCACCTCTCTGTCGGCTCAGCACTTTCGGACATGTATCTGCCATGTGGAGCTGCAGGGCCGGTGACATGCCACTCATTCTCCACCGAAGCACGCTCTGCTAAAGCCCCTCGCCTCCTACGCCCCCTCCTCTAACTTTTCACCCTCATCATACTCAAAAATGTCCAATTATACAAGCAACCGAACCAGGATGGTTCCAGGTATAACCAGAGGTATATATCCCTTAATATTGTCAGTGGTTAAAATTCATTTCCATTTTTAAAGACTTCAAGATCCAATCATAAAGCTTTTATCATGTGACAGACCAATGAATGAGTTTTCATATTGACAGTAAAGGTGTATTAAATGTATAATAACACGACACCTGTGGAATGAATATCTTCATTTATTTCATGTATTTTTGGCTTTGGGTGGCTCTTCCTGCTCCGGCTGAATAGTTAAGTTCCTGAACATATTTTTACCTTCGCCAATGTTTGTTTCTTAGTAAGTTAGCAGCATTAGACAAAATCTACTGGACACATAAACACAAAACGTGTTAGAAGAATGCAGAATGAGTCTGGGAACAACCCATCACATTTTGGTGTGGATCCAGGAATTGATTTTCACTAAATTATTTAGTATTTTTCAACATTTTCTTTAAAAAGGTGGACATACATTGAATATAAGGGGACCATTGCACCTCGTCAGAGGCATGGGCTCGACCATGTGCCATTCTTCTTCTTTGTGTATTTTCTCTCCGTTATCTTTCGTGTGCATTGTGCCCTTGGTCCCCCACAGAGAAAACCAGGAGGGTGAGGCCTGTGCCCATGGCTTTACACCTTTAGACACAATTGTATATAGTTTTAAAAACAAGTACATATAGACAAAAGTAAATGAAAAATAATTAAATATCATAAATAAATGAAAATGCAAATTATTTTACTTGTATAACTTGTGAATTATTTCATTAATGCCTTTTTATATTTCCACAGTTATTTTATTTTTCTTTAACATATCTATTCATCTTATCATGGCACTCTTATGGCTCTATACTTTACACTGGGTATAGAAAAGATAAATATGCACTTCAAGTTGGTGGTGAACATACAGCACTGACCACAGGGAGGCAACCTTGGTGTGAGTGACAGCCAGGCAGCTGTCCCACATTGGCCTGCACATGCACAAAGTTAATAGCCATAAACATCTGGACACACGGACAATTCAAAGGCTCGACACAGCTGTAGACAGGAATCATCCAGCAGAGCGTTTTCCTCCAGGCGGCCTGTGTGTGTTGTGCTGGTCTGAGTTGGTGCCAGCACGAGCGTTTTTCGCCTCAGGACCCAACTTTAGTTTACGACGGGCCACTAAAAGACATTGATCCTCGCTGTAGTTAAGTTAGCAACAGCATGACTTCACATTATGTTCTCTTCTGGTAGTACATAGCCTCAGGTGATGGTCCTCACTAAGAGTGTTGCTTGTTTATATGGAGCTGGATCCAGATTTAGTGCATACCCTGATTGTATTCTTGCATGCAAAATTGTACATGTAAGGGGTTGAGTTACTACATGCTGCCAGGACCACAGCTTTACAACCACAGCTTTACAACCACTGAGGTTGAATAATGGTGACATCGACGCACCCTCCATGTTAGACCTGCATGCAGGCGTTTCCCAGGTATGCAGAGAGGAGAAGAGTGAAGAGAAGAGTCCAGCATTCAATCCCATTGTTGAAAATGTAAATCAAGCTTGTGACCAAATGACTGCAAGTCTTGATTTGGCAGATTTACATAATGCTGGAACCGAGTCGGTTTCCCGTAGCCAACCTCGAGCTTCTCCAGTTTGGCCTGCATCCTGTCTTTGCTTCTGGGACTCTTTAGCGATGGCTGTGAATGGCTCTGGTAGCAAAACGCCATGGAAGTGTGTCTGACTTGTAGAGAATGAAGGCAGTGAGCTGCCCACTCGCCAGCCTGCTGCGGCCCCCGCACACACGTGCAAGCAAACACACACTTGCGTATTGTACACAGGAATACTCAGATAGTGGAAAACGAGGATGGCTTCACTGTACCGCCATCCTATCATCAGGTGGGAAAAAATAGAAATTTGCAAAATGAAAACATAAAATATGAATTAGATTTGAGTGACTGCATTAAAAGCAGATACGGCTGATAGACACACCCACATGGATACACACACACTCAACTCTTTCCATCTTGCTCTCGCCCACACACTCTCACACATGTTTGTACGTGCCAGTAGAGTACTCCCAGATGGACTAGTACCAAAGCAGGGATTATGTAACAAAGGCCTGTTTCAAACTAAAAACTTTAAACTCAAAAACCGGGAAGAGTTGGTTCCTCAAATACACATTTCCCATCTTTTGATAGTCCTCACCTTGGCTATAAAAATGATCACCATTCAAGTGAAGATTTAAAACTGAGGTTGACGTTACTGGGTAATTGCTATTAATTACAACTTGGGCTTACTTGAGAAGTGTTGTTCCCCATATATGATAATGTTGTGCTAATGACCAGCGTAATTGCTGAGACCTTGGAATGCTAGCATGCAATAAGGAAGTCAGTAAAGTGGCCTAGACCTTAGACTACATGAAAGATGGACATGTCTCCACTTCCTCCCACTATCCAAGAAACAAGTAAATATCCAGGATGTAAACACTACCATCTTGCACTACTGATTCTGTTTGGAGACCAGCGTCTGTGTAGCAGTGATCGGTGTGTAGCCGCGGTATCGAGGTCCCGTTGATACACACGCTTAACTAATCGCATGCCAGTCTCAGCTGTCAATCATGATGGTTCACCCCCATTTTTATAGCATCGGAAAGCGAAATAGAATTTAAGAAACATCAGTGTGAT